AAAAAAAATAATACTTAATAACTATATTTCATTATGAATTAAATATCGAATATGTCTATATTTTATCTCCCTGTTACTATTTGTTCTACTGTTTGCTTATTATGTTCTATTATTTGTTTTATTACTTGTTTTATGTTATATGCTTTGTTACTTGTTTCATTATTTGTTTATCATGAATTTATCTATTTATTTATTATTCTATATCGAATTTTATTTGTGTTTAAAAAAAAAATTTTTTTAAATATCCTAGCTCGCACACAGGCATTACAATGCCTCAGCAAGTTACCAATGTTTATATTTAAATTAACTATGTAATTGTAATTTATATTTCTTTTTTTGAATAAACATTATTATTATTATTATTATTATTGACAACGTCCAAGTTTATCTAATATTTCGGTAATATTAGGTAGGGGGTATCTATCGTCTACTGTTTTTTCGTTAATTTTACGGTAATCTACAACTATTCGCCATTTTTGTTTGTTACTAACGTCAAGCTTTTTTGCAACAACCCATATTGGTGAACTCCAAGGGGATTGTGATGGTCTTATTATGCCGTCTTCTAACATTTTATTTATTTGTCTTTTTACTTCTTCTTTGTGAACATAAGGATAACGATATGATTTGGTATGTGCAGGTATTTCGTCCGTCGTTTTTATTTCATGTTTAATTTTGTTTGTAAAAGTAAGTTTGTTATCAGGGTGATGAAAAACATCTTTATATTCTAAGATTGTTTTAACTAAGAAATTCTTTTCTTCGGGGTTTAAGTGTGATAATCTTAAATCATTAATATTAAGTTTTCTTTGTTTTAAGTTTTCTCGTTCGTTTGTGAATTGTTCTGAGTGAAAACATTCGTAATGTTCATCCTTAAAATCTTGATGAAATTTTAATAGAAATTTGTCGTCAATGTGAAAGATTTGTGATTTTTCGGAATTGTTAATAATTTCGAGGGTCGTTAGTCCGTCTTGTATGTTTAATAAACTAGCGGGTATAATTATTGTTTTGTCTGTATTGCAAATGTCGGGGATTATAATGTCTCCGTTTGGTAATTTAGTTTTTATGGTTTTTATTATGGAAGTTTTTCCTGGAATTTCTATTTTTTGAAAATCGAAATTAGTTCTATATAATAATGGGATTTTTATATTTTCATTGAATAATGTTTTTGAATCGAAATTTAAGTTTAGTTTTAAATCTCTTAGATCTCTTATTCCAATGATTCCATCGAAATAATCATGGAAGTCGAATAGAATAAATTCGAGGGGGTTCGAAAGTTTGTATTCAGAAAGTAAGGGAATTGTGGCTTTTTGTTCGGCGTTTTTCGTGCCGGTACAAGTTATTATCGGTGTTGTTTGTCTTACAATTGAGTTTGGAAAATATTTTTCTGCGATGACAGGTCTTAGTAAAGAGGCATGACAACCTGTGTCAACTAGCAGTTTAATATTGGGGTTTTTAATTTGAATGAATGGTAATGAGTTTGGCATAAGATTATTTAACTCTATAGGTATTCTATAGGGGGTTTCTCTTCTAAATTCATAGTCTGAAAATCCTGAAGAAATTGTTCTTCTGGTATTTCTTTATAATTGTCGAAAGTATCGTCTTGTTCTATATTATGTATTTCTTCTGAAATAAAGTTTGCTGGTCCTCTAGATTGAAAGTAATTATTATTTTTAAATGGTCTTTGAGTTTTCATACCTGACATTCTCGAGGTAGTGGACATTGGTTCTGGGGCATTAGAAGGTTTGTGTGAATATTTTGGTTCGAAAACATTTTTCGGTTTTCCGAAGACTTGTTCATTCGTTGGGAATTTTCTAGGGAGTAATTGTCTTGGTTGAACGTTTATAGGTTGACTTGGAAAGTATTGTTTGGACGTACCAGGTGTAGCGTCAAAGTTTTGGGGGGAATAATTTGAATTAAAATGTCTAAAATTCGAATGAGGATTTTGATTAGATTGATTGTTGTATTGGTAATTGTTGTTGTAATTTTTGTGGTTATGTTGTTTTTGTGGAAAGTTCTTTTGAGGTGTATTAGGTATGTTAGATGTGTTAGGTCTTTGTCTCTGTCTAAAGTCAAAGTTCATTGAATTTATTCTTTGTTCTTTATTGAAGTATCGCGTTACTATGTCGGTCGCTTCAATGAAATTTCTAGGTTCTCTAATGTCTATGAGTAATCTAATTCTATCATCTACATTAGCTAAAAGTATATCTAAGGCATTACCGTCGTTTTGTTCCATCAAGAGTTCTTGTCTGGCAACGGTAACGGGTTCAGAGCAAATTTTTAAATCTAATCGTGATTTCATTAATTTAATTTTATTTATAAAATTTATAATAGTTTCTTTCGGGCTTTTCGTTAAATGTAGAAAATCTCGAGTTAAAGTTTGTCTATCTATTCTGTCACCATATTGCTCTCTCAAGGCATTTTTTATGAGTGGCCAGGAAGTTAGATCAGGTCTACACATTACAAAATTTAAAACATCATCGCGTAATTTCGAACAAATGACACTAAACGTAAAGTCGTTTAGGCTATTATCTGTTGATCTACCGTATGTTTCGTAGAATTTGTCGCATCTTTTAATAAAGCTTTCTAATTGAAATGAATCTCCAGAAAATAATGGTAAAAAGTTTGCCATTGTGTTAGCTGATTGAGCCGTAGGTGAACTACGTGGCTGATTTTCGAGTGACATATTTTCTAAATTTGCAACAAGTTCTTCAAAATCACTAGAGCTTTCAGACATACACTTTGATTTAATTTAATTTTTTAAATTTTTATTTTAATTTTTTATAAGCAAATAAATATTTTTGCACTTTTGTTTAACGTATATAACGTATAATATAAATAATTTCAAATTGGTAAATTTTTTCCGTTACGAAGACGTCCAAGTGAGGATCGCTGGCGACTACGGTTTTTTACACAATTGAATATAAATTATAAGAATTGCCGTTCCGAAGATGTCTTTTATTAAGATCACTGGCGAGCACGGTTTCTTATTTAAATAATTTTCTTAGGAATTGCCGCTCCGAATATGTCTTTTATAAAGATCACTGGCGAGCACGGTTTCCTATTCAAGTAAAATTTTTTCACAATGAATATCTTAGGAATATCGCTCCGAAGATGTCTTTCTATGAAGATCACTGGCGAGCACGATTTCCTATTTAATAAATAATTATTTATTTAATTATTTATTTTCGTAGATTAGTTTTTTATTTTAATTTTTGCTATTATAATTTTCTTATTAAAATAATCTTATTTGAAAATTAATTAAAAATATGTTTTAATGTAAAATAGTAATAAAATAAAATAATAGAGATAATCAAATTTGGTAAAATTGAGAGGAAAGTATAAGGAATCTCAACTTACAGGTTCTCAAGATGAGTGGTTGAAACCAGGACCGGAACTGCTTGGAACTGCGAATTCTGGCTTCTTGAATCCAATCTGACTGCGCCAATTTTATTGTTGTTCACTAATAGTTTGTTTTTAAAAAGTTTTATTTACAATTTAAACTAATATGATACAATTTAACTTGTTGTTTACAAATTAATAATTACGATATATACTATACTAATTCTAATATTGTTCTGAACGCTGTGTTTGGGCTCTCCTTCCTTTTATAGGTTTCTTAATAAGTGGTTCATTAACTTAACGAAGCACGTGTTGTCGTAATGGCTGGGGTGATAACCTTATGCGGGTTATCAATTGGTGGCTACATAACTTATGTAAGACAAAAAAATTATATTCTATTCTGTAACGTTTTAAATGATCTACTAAATATACTTAAAATACCAGGATTTTAACTTAAAATCAATGGCGCCTCCACCATGTCACGCTTAACGGTTAGGGGGTGGTAATTATTCTTTTTAATGTGATTAGGGGTCCTCGCTTGGCTTGAGAGGTAAAAATAGATAATCACCCACTTCCGCTAAGCGCGCTCTAGCCGATATTAATCTCAAAAGGCTCAGATTAACTTCTTGGTTTAGAAGGAATCTGCGCCACTTAAGATGAACCTCGGGTGACTTAAATTACTGTATAGAGAACTAAACTAGTTATAATAGAAACACCATGTATAAAAAATCAACAAACACTTTATTAAATATCGTAATCAAAAGACGCAAAAGATATAATAAAGAATCGATATAATAATATTAAAATTTGGGGTCCTTACCTCATTGTCCTGGAGCAGTCACAATTTTTATTTTTTACTTTATTTTATTTTCAGAAATATTTATAAGTATTTATTTTATGCTTTATATTTTATTAACCACAATTATTTTTCTGTGATCGATGACGACCACCCTTTTTGCCGTCTCGCAAAACTCTCAATATTTTTATAGAAACTTACTTTATGATTCTGGGGAACAGAAAAATTTATAGATGTGCCTTCAACACCTATTGGATTGCTCAAGTCTTCATACAGGGTCTCAAACCAGTGTGGGTATTTTTTCAACTCAATGGGAGGTCTCTCTTCCTGAATAACATTTTCAGCATAAAAATTATGTATCCTCCCTTTTTTCCCTATCATTAATGATTCCCTGATGTGTTCTGTAATGTCTTGGTTTTGTCCGCTTTTTCTTACATCCATAAAACCGAACCTTTTGTTTTTTATTTCAGATGTAGAATAATGGTGAATAAGCTCTTCCATTGCTATGTACCCTGTGTTGGTTCTTATTTCCATTGGAACAGCAGTAACATTAAGGTTCATAAACATGTCTAGTGCGTGCTCATCTGTTTCTTCAAACAACTCCAATGGGTCGCAATAAAACGGAGGACACAAAACTCCTTTATATGAACATTCTTCATCCGCATTTATCTCAGTTGGATCTATCAAGTTGTTGAACACTGACTCCTTATCTATTACTTCTATTGTACTCTTAGGGGGTACCACAAAACCTGGCTCAGACTCTTCTACTTTCTTCTTGATGAATTCTTTCATGGAGTTTAAATATCTTTCTATTGAATAAGGCTTGAATATTAATGATGAAAGGTTACCTTCCATTAGCATGTTGTCCTCAAGATTGTATGTCTTCATAACAGCTCTTCTCAATGTTAGGAAACCTGTAGCTTTTGCTTCTCCTGGCATCTTGTCTTTTTTGAGGTGTGTGTGTGTGTATTGAAAAGTTATTTAAGTCAACGACTATGAGTGATACATGGTCAGATTGGATGGTTGTTCTTTCATTCATGAATTCTGTTATCACTCTGGGGACATTCACTGTTGTCTTCACTTCTATGAGTTTCCGTTCGGTAGTGTCTATTATATCAAAAAGTTTGTTTGGTTTTGGCATTTCCCATTTTCTTACAAAATGATCTTGAAATCGAGGAGCATTTATTAGTCCTTCTAATACTAAATACCTAAATTTTAACAAATGATAATGTTCTGCTTCAAACGCTTTGTCTTCGTCGTCTTCATATTCTGAATTATCTTCATCACTAACTGTTGGAATTTGAAATGCATCATCAGAGTCATATTCGTTGTTCTTTTTCCATATCCTCTGCCTGCAGCAGGAATATTGGGATATCATTATTTTCATCGATATTCTGGCCAGCTTATTTTTAATGCATTGTTCCAGCTATTAGCTATGGCTGTACGTTCATAGGCTGAAAGGAATGAATGGATATTCCCAGAACAAGGGTTAAAAATAGGGGGACTAATAAACTGAGGTTGGGCTGGTTTTTGGTTAAAAGTGAATGCCTCTGTTAATGTGGAGTCCGCCATGTTTTTTGTAATTTGTGTTATTACCTGTTGTTGTGACACACTATTATTTGAGGCTGAAGGGGGGGTAAGTACGACTGTTGGGTTTGCGGTAGGAGGTTTATTAGACAGAGACGGTGAACTAGCTACCGATTTGTCGAGTTCCTCAGAATCTTTCTTTGATTCAGGAGATTCCTCAGAATCTTTCCTTGATTTAGGAGATTCTTCGTTGTCCCCCTCCTTTATCGGGGGGGCTGTATCAGTCTCCACGGAGACAGTCTCTTTTTCTGGAGACCGGGGTGTCTTAAAGGACCTTTCAAATACCGTACTGCTAAGGGGTGGTTCGAAAGGTACCTCCTCCTCTAGTTTTAATCTTAGGTGTTTTTCTTTAGCACCTCTCGTTAGAGGCATAGAGATGTAACAGTTATATATTAATTTATAGATGCATTTTAGTTTTTTAAGATAAATAATATAAATAAGTATAAATGTACATAGAAATAAGAATTATTGTAAAATATTCATTTAAAAATAAATAAAGAATAAATAATATAAAACACACCAATATTTATTTATTTGTTAAAAAGAAAATGTAAATGTTTAAAAATGTTGAAAATATTTTTGAATTTTATGGTTCATTTCTCTTTATGTATTGGAAAAAATTCTAAAATGAGAAAAAAACGTTTTTTATTTATTTTTTTTTGTAATGTTATTAAATACGCAAAAAAATTACCAAAAAAAAAAATTATCGAAAAAATTATCAAAAAATTACCAAAAAAATGACAATATATTAAAATTAACTAATTTTTTCCTCCACACTTCGAGTTTTAGCTTTCTTATCCCAAGCGTGACGGCTATTAGGGTCAAGCTTAGGTTAAATAATCGTTTAAATAGGTTACCTTAATTTTTTGTAGTCAAATAAATTAATTTATATGAAAAAAATGAAATGTAAAAAAAATTAAAAATTAAAATAATTATTAAAATTTTTCTGAAGCTTCTTAGATTCTATTATGCTCTTAAAAAAAAATTAAGGTAAGAAGGACATTAGCCAAAATGCGTTTAATCTCTTATACATGGATTTTTGAAGTAAGAAAAAAAATTACTTATCCTTATATGTAAGACAAAAAAATTATATTCTATTCTGTAACGTTTTAAATGATCTACTAAATATACTTAAAATACCAGGATTTTAACTTAAAATCAATGGCGCCTCCACCATGTCACGCTTAACGGTTAGGGGGTGGTAATTATTCTTTTTAATGTGATTAGGGGTCCTCGCTTGGCTTGAGAGGTAAAAATAGATAATCACCCACTTCCGCTAAGCGCGCTCTAGCCGATGTTAATCTCAAAAGGCTCAGATTAACTTCTTGGTTTAGAAGGAATCTGCGCCACTTAAGATGAACCTCGGGTGACTTAAATTACTGTATAGAGAACTAAACTAGTTATAATAGAAACACCATGTATAAAAAATCAACAAACACTTTATTAAATATCGTAATCAAAAGACGCAAAAGATATAATAAAGAATCGATATAATAATATTAAAATTTGGGGTCCTTACCTCATTGTCCTGGAGCAGTCACAATTTTTATTTTTTACTTTATTTTATTTTCAGAAATATTTATAAGTATTTATTTTATGCTTTATATTTTATTAACCACAATTATTTTTCTGTGATCGATGACGACCACCCTTTTTGCCGTCTCGCAAAACTCTCAATATTTTTATAGAAACTTACTTTATGATTCTGGGGAACAGAAAAATTTATAGATGTGCCTTCAACACCTATTGGATTGCTCAAGTCTTCATACAGGGTCTCAAACCAGTGTGGGTATTTTTTCAACTCAATGGGAGGTCTCTCTTCCTGAATAACATTTTCAGCATAAAAATTATGTATCCTCCCTTTTTTCCCTATCATTAATGATTCCCTGATGTGTTCTGTAATGTCTTGGTTTTGTCCGCTTTTTCTTACATCCATAAAACCGAACCTTTTGTTTTTTATTCCAGATGTAGAATAATGGTGAATAAGCTCTTCCATTGCTATGTACCCTGTGTTGGTTCTTATTTCCATTGGAACAGCAGTAACATTAAGGTTCATAAACATGTCTAGTGCGTGCTCATCTGTTTCTTCAAACAACTCCAATGGGTCGCAATAAAACGGAGGACACAAAACTCCTTTATATGAACATTCTTCATCCGCATTTATCTCAGTTGGATCTATCAAGTTGTTGAATAGTGACTCCTTATCTATTACTTCTATTGTACTCTTAGGGGGTACCACAAAACCTGGCTCAGACTCTTCTACTTTCTTCTTGATGAATTCTTTCATGGAGTTTAAATATCTTTCTATTGAATAAGGCTTGAATATTAATGATGAAAGGTTACCTTCCATTAGCATGTTGTCCTCAAGATTGTATGTCTTCATAACAGCTCTTCTCAATGTTAGGAAACCTGTAGCTTTTGCTTCTCCTGGCATCTTGTCTTTTTTGAGGTGTGTGTATTGAAAAGTTATTTAAGTCAACGACTATGAGTGATACATGGTCAGATTGGATGGTTGTTCTTTCATTCATGAATTCTGTTATCACTCTGGGGACATTCACTGTTGTCTTCACTTCTATGAGTTTCCGTTCGGTAGTGTCTATTATATCAAAAAGTTTGTTTGGTTTTGGCATTTCCCATTTTCTTACAAAATGATCTTGAAATCGAGGAGCATTTATTAGTCCTTCTAATACTAAATACCTAAATTTTAACAAATGATAATGTTCTGCTTCAAACGCTTTGTCTTCGTCGTCTTCATATTCTGAATTATCTTCATCACTAACTGTTGGAATTTGAAATGCATCATCAGAGTCATATTCGTTGTTCTTTTTCCATATCCTCTGCCTGCAGCAGGAATATTGGGATATCATTATTTTCATCGATATTCTGGCCAGCTTATTTTTAATGCATTGTTCCAGCTATTAGCTATGGCTGTACGTTCATAGGCTGAAAGGAATGAATGGATATTCCCAGAACAAGGGTTAAAAATAGGGGGACTAATAAACTGAGGTTGGTCTGGTTTTTGGTTAAAAGTGAATGCCTCTGTTAATGTGGTGTCCGCCATGTTTTTTGTAATTTGTGTTATTACCTGTTGTTGTGACACACTATTATTTGAGGCTGAAGGGGGGGGTAAGTACGACTGTTGGGTTTGCGGTAGGAGGTTTATTAGACAGAGACGGTGAACTAGCTACCGATTTGTCGAGTTCCTCAGAATCTTTCTTTGATTCAGGAGATTCCTCAGAATCTTTCCTTGATTTAGGAGATTCTTCGTTGTCCCCCTCCTTTATCGGGGGGGCTGTATGAGACTCCACGGAGACAGTCTCTTTTTCTGGAGACCGGGGTGTCTTAAAGGACCTTTCAAATACCGTACTGCTAAGGGGTGGTTCGAAAGGTACCTCCTCCTCTAGTTTTAATCTTAGGTGTTTTTCTTTAGCACCTCTCGTTAGAGGCATAGAGATGTAACAGTTATATATATTAATTTATAGATGCATTTTAGTTTTTTAAGATAAATAATATAAATAAGTATAAGTGTACATAGAAATAAGAAATATTGTAAAATATTCATTTAAAAATAAATAAAGAATAAATAATATAAAACACACCAATATTTATTTATTTGTTAAAAAGAAAATGTAAATGTTTAAAAATGTTGAAAATATTTTTGAATTTTATGGTTCATTTCTCTTTATGTATTGGAAAAAATTCTAAAATGAGAAAAAAACGTTTTTTATTTATTTTTTTTTGTAATGTTATTAAATACGCAAAAAATTACCAAAAAATTACCAAAAAAAAAAAAAGTTATCGAAAAAATTATCAAAAAATTACCAAAAAAATGACAATATATTAAAATTAACTAATTTTTTCCTCCACACTTCGAGTTTTAGCTTTCTTATCCCAAGCGTGACGGCTATTAGGGTCAAGCTTAGGTTAAATAATCGTTTAAATAGGTTACCTTAATTTTTTGTAGTCAAATAAATTAATTTATATGAAAAAAATGAAATGTAAAAAAAATTAAAAATTAAAATAATTATTAAAATTTTTCTGAAGCTTCTTAGATTCTATTATGCTCTTAAAAAAAATTAAGGTAAGAAGGACATTAGCCAAAATGCGTTTAATCTCTTATACATGGATTTTTGAAGTAAGAAAAAAATTACTTATCCTTATATGTAAGACAAAAAAATTATATTCTATTCTGTAACGTTTTAAATGATCTACTAAATATACTTAAAATACCAGGATTTTAACTTAAAATCAATGGCGCCTCCACCATGTCACGCTTAACGGTTAGGGGGTGGTAATTATTCTTTTTAATGTGATTAGGGGTCTTCGCTTGGCTTGAGAGGTAAAAATAGATAATCACCCACTTCCGCTAAGCGCGCTCTAGCCGATGTTAATCTCAAAAGGCTCAGATTAACTTCTTGGTTTAGAAGGAATCTGCGCCACTTAAGATGAACCTCGGGTGACTTAAATTACTGTATAGAGAACTAAACTAGTTATAATAGAAACACCATGTATAAAAAATCAACAAACACTTTATTAAATATCGTAATCAAAAGACGCAAAAGATATAATAAAGAATCGATATAATAATATTAAAATTTGGGGCCTTACCTCATTGTCCTGGAGCAGTCACAATTTTTATTTTTTACTTTATTTTATTTTCAGAAATATTTATAAGTATTTATTTTATGCTTTATATTTTATTAACCACAATTATTTTTCTGTGATCGATGACGACCACCCTTTTTGCCGTCTTGCAAAACTCTCCATGACCCCCTAAAAATAAACCGACTAGGTTCGATTTCGCAAGACTTCCAAAATCGTCGAGTCAGCACAAAGTTCATTAGTTTTTAACTTAATTGTTATGAAACTATGAAATGCATTCTCTACGATTTAAAAGTATTTCGAAATCGACCTACTATTCAGAAATAATTTAACATACAGGATGTTAAATTATTTACTGAGCCGAATGAAAATAAATGAATTCCATTTAAGGAATAATTGTGACAGTATGCATAGAGAAAGAACTAACGAAATATATAATCTTTTTAGACTCTGCTTTAAAAACCAAAAGACTATTATTGGACGCTAGTAGGCCTGAGTTTGAGTTCATTCTAGCATGGATCCCAGGTTATATGGGGTAATGGATAACACACAGGTCGATGATCTGGTTAATATATGTAGAGTTTTGAACGTTCCAGCTGATATTAAAATAGACAGGCATGATTATTTTCCTTATTTTAAAAAACTAATTTTAAATGCGCACAACATTAACTGGAGTAGATCCTTTTTGGAAAAGGGGAAATGTGTATCCACATAAATCTTGGTTTTTGAAATTTCTATATATTGATCGCAGACATATTACAATTATTAGGTTGAAAACTGGGCACCCCCTTTGCCGAGGTCACCTTTTTAAAATTGGGTGTAGCGATGACACATTCTGTGAATGTGGTCAATTAGAAAATCTACACCATGTATTTTTTGAATGTCCCTTGAACATTAAAATAAGCTACCCTTCTCCCATCTCACTTCCTAGTATTTTAAATCATCTAAATCTAAATGTCATTAAATTAATTATGCAACTTATTAACACACAGTGGCTGCTCGTGAGGTGGTTCACAGTGACAGAATATAGGTATCAGTACAGATGTATGAAAAACCTTTCCGTGTTTTAGAAAGTTTATAATATACCTTTCTAAAACACTGACAGTTTTTTACCTATATCTGTACCATGATCTATATTCTGCTACTGTGAACTCCCAACATTTTGGTCACGAGCCACCCCTGTTAACACATTTAAAATAAAAATTTAGTATACAAACAAAAAATATTTTTTGGTAATTCCAGAATAATTCCTGAACTGTTTAACCTGGATGCTCCTACTATCTATCCGAGGCAACATTTCTGGGTTAGTGTAATGCTCGGCAGTTGCCCCCGAACGAGAAAAGTTCATACCTCTGTTGTGTTGTCTTTTAACATGTTTAGCCTATGTTACCAAGTATTAGTATGATCAATGGAAAAGAGTGAATATGGATTTTTCTTCAATGGGAAAATGGAAAATTCCAGACGTTCTTTATTGAATATTCCCGAATTAACTGCGCTGGCTAAATAACTAAAGGGTGGAGGCCAAGAAACTAAAAGAAGAAGAAGAAACAACTGGCAACACTGCTCTAGTCCACTCCTGTCAAAAACGCCCTACACACGTAACGATTTATCGTACTGCATGCAGTACGATATCCATCGAAACTGCCGTATTAACGATAAATCGTAGCGTGTGTAGGGAAATTGGATGGTTTGCAGTATGCAGTCGTCAAATCGTTTGCAGTAGGGAGCTTCCGTAAAATATCGTATCAACGGGTCGTGTCTGGGGTGGGGTTTGAACGCAAGTCTGAACGTGTGGAGTGTATTCCTGCCGCAGCGCGCAGTTACGATATAATTTTTATTTATTTTTGGTTTAATCAATATTATGGATTTAAAAAATAAGACGTTCTGGTAAGACTTTATTGATTTATATAGAGAAAATAGATGCCTATGGGAAGTCAAATCAAAAGATTATGCATATAAAATGAGAATAAATTCCAGTTATGAAATTTTGTTCAAAAAATTTAAGAAATTGTTCCCAGAATAAGAAAATAAACAATATAGGAACAATCGGGTCGATGGTGTAGCGGTCTAACGCGCTTATATTCATTTATAGGCAAGTTTATGAGTCCGAGACTGCTGGGCTTCGAATCCCAGACCGGACCATGTGGATTTTTAATTAAATTGCATGGTTCGGTTTAGGATTTGATGTGTGCCGTATTAATAGAAAATTCAATTTCTATTGATATGACATGCAGATTATTAAATCGCCATACATTATCGTCTCGATGATGGTTGGTGAGGTTTTCCGGGTTTTCCTCACCTGTAAGTCAAATGGCACCATCAATCATCCTTAAGTCGCCCCGGAGCGCCACGGCAAATAATAATAATAGCCGTCCCTTCCCCTACACAAGTCGTTCAGTCGACTTCAGGGGTTGAAATTCACTCGTAAGGGGGTGAATTAGGGAGAGTATTATTATTATTATCTTTTAGACGCGAACTGAAGAAGGTAAGATTATAAATATATGTATTGTATATTAATAATATGCGAGTATTATAGGTATCACACATTTTTGTCATTTTATATTTACATAATTCCTAATTGGGATTTACAAAAGTTACTTATTTTAGGTTGAGGACTCCAAACGCACAGGGTCCGGGATTGATGATATTTATGAGCCTTCCTTTGGTATTATGAGCCTTCCTTTG